CAAGAACAATAAATATCGTGGTATATGGATAGCTTAAAGAAAAAACTAATAAAAGTGCAGGCTATTATGTTAAAATATTGCTTGATATTTAAATAAGTGTCCTTTTCAGGACAATAATAGTAAAAGGTGTGTTTAAATATAGAAATTAAAACTATAATCAGTATGTTAAATGTGTATCAAATTATACAAACATGATTGGCTGTCCTGTTAGGTATTTATAAAAAACATTAGGTATGATAAAATCCTTTCAGGAGTGTCTTAAAAGCATTAGTAACATTATCATCCCATAGAAATACAAGTAAATGAAAAATAAGATGATATATGTTAAAACCTGCATGCTATTCTATAGAAGTATAGAAACACCTTTTTAAAATGTATGCAATTAAATGTAAGTTGAAATCTGCATGTCATATTATTTTGTTTGTTTATTTGTAGTTAAGCACAAAGCGACACAATAGGCCATCTGTGCTGTACATACTATGAGTATCGAAACCCCGATTTCAGCATTATAAATCCAAATACTTATCGCTGTGCCACTGGAGGGGGGGGGTGAAAATTGTTTCGTGATGTTTTTTTTTAATGTATATGTTTTGTTTTGTGCTAGCCGTCCCTAATTTTGCAGTGATAGACTAGAGGGAAGGCAGTTAGTCAACACCACTAACCCTTGGTCTACTCTTTTACAAACGAATGGTGGGATTGAGTGTCACATTATAATGTCCCCACAGTTGAAAAGGCAAGCGTGTTTGGTGTGAGGAGGATTCGAATCCGCAACCTTCAAAATGCAAGACGAGTACCCTAACCACCAGGCCATACCAGACTTCACTGTATAGATAACATATATGTACACACTCCTTTATTGAGAATGAGATTGTTATATAAATTACATAATGTTAAAAATTATAACACAAAAATGTGTTTATTATTCATACACTGAACTAAATTTGGCTGCAATATTAAATGTTATTATTGACTGTAATTCCTACAAACACAGTTATATAATTATGACAGCATGTTATAATAATCCATTATGAAGTTTGAAGATTTCATACCAAGAATCATATTATTGAGAAATATCATGTGGATTTTTTTAATTAAAAGTATATTTTTTTTAATTTTTACTATACAGGCCATTTCATATATTGAAAAATGTTAATAATTTGGGATTACTCCTGAAATTTCGACTTTCATTGCAACCTTTTGCAACATAAGTTTCTTTATTTTTATTGTATACTAGCTGAGTTACTTAGCATTGCACGGTGACAATTTAGATTTGAAATGTATAGATCAGTATTTTTTCAGAAAATTATTCAGTAAGTA